CTGAATAAGTTGAAATATATAAAAATATTTATCTATATTATACATATGCCTAAATTTTTTATATATTGTAGAGCTTCTTACAAGACAAATTTAATAGTAATTAATATTTATTTAAAATGTCTTCATTTTTTGATATATTACAGTTTAAATAATTATTGCTTTTAATTTTTTATGGAATGTTTTTATTTTTTTGTGATTTAGAAAACATCGTAATATTATAATATAAAAATGTCTAATATAAAACAATAAAAATATTATTTTAACAGAAACATAAAAACTTTATATAAACATGGATAAGCATACAAAACATCAAATAGGATTTTAAAATTAATAGCTCCAGTCTATGGTTTTCAAAAATTGAGATGTGTCTTGTCATTATAATTTTATAAAGCACTAAAATTTCAAGATAACTAACAAAAAAGGTTATTCCCTGTGACTATAAATCGCACGATAGGAATTGAAATTTTTAATATAAGTAAAATATGTAAACATTATGGACGATAAAACAACAGCAATGAAAAAAAAAATGGGGAAAAGTGAAATATTTTTATGTATTTAAAACTGATGAAAAAACCAATTATTATATCAGAGCAACGGCGTGTGTTGAAATAATCATAATATCATTGATAAAATTTCATTTATTTGTAGTTTTCACAAAGAAAATCTTATATTTTAATATTAAACATCAAATGACGGTGAAAAAGCTGCTTTAAAATTTTGTCTGCGCACAGGTTTTTGGCAGTTCAAGTGCGAAAGGTGGCCGTGTTTTGGCGATTTTCACGTTGTGTGTGCAGGTACGAGGAGCATAATATATTTAAATTTTTTTTATTTAAGAATAAAAAAACGAGAGCTTTTCTCTTCCCTCGCAGTTATGGCTTCCTCAGCGTCACTCTGGATCTCGTCATCAAGGTGCACGAAGGCGTGCACGAATATTATTCAGTCGGTGCCATCGCAGCTCCCATACACGGCTACTCTTCATGCATTCAGGCCTAGCTGCGGCGCGGCTCAGGTTTCACGGCCGAGTCTGGTCTGGGCCCACCTATGAGAGCCACACTCACTGCGATTGTGAGTGAGCGAAAACGCATTCGGCCTTTTCGCCGTAAATCCACTCACGCTCGCGCACACCTCTGTGAAAAATTAATCGGCAGCTTTAAATTTTAAAATGTGAGAAGAGAGGAGCAGCATTATTATTTTTCTTAAAACATTAATTGAAATTTGCGGAAAATTAAATAACAAGTTTTAAGTCGCTTTTGTGATATTGAAAAAAAAACTGACGTGTACAGGTCAATCTATTGACTTAAATTTAATATAAAATCGACTAAGAGCAAACAAAATTTGAAAAATCAAAACGAACCCTTATAAGTAAATTTTGAACACCAGAATTAAAAAAAATCTAAGTTTGAAATAAGATTTTACGGAAATCTTTACGCTGGGTATAGCAGCAAGGCTGTGACGAAAGTTTCAGGTTTTGAATTGACCATTTCCACATAGGGTTACAAATTGTTAAAAATTTCTATAAGATTTGTCTATAAATTAAATAAATACCATTTATTTAGTATTTATTAAGGTGAAATTACAGTATCATTCGCATGGATCCATTGCTGAAGTCCAATGTTTAATTAACCAAAATTCATGAATGCATCCATTTATTTTTTTATAAATTAATAATAAAATAAATAAAAAGATCCAAAATTAAATTTAAAGCAAGTAACTGTACTTTTACGTTTTTGGAAAACAAAAAATAATAACCAAAATAAATCCCGACCTGGAACCTGCTCTAGTACTTGGAGAAAAGAAAACCTTTTCATTGAGTCCATGCAATCTTAATGCTGAGTTTTATACAATAAAAATAAATATGAAAATTTTTAACCAAAATGTTAAAAATTTATTGAGCAATAGAGTCAGTTTACTCAATTTTTGAGTTACAAATTTTAAAAAAAATATTGGGTACTAATTATGTATTTAGATAAAATTTTGTTGACGTATTTTTCATAGGGTTCTGTCATTTGTGAGTTCTTATAACAATAAAAATAAGATACTACACAATTTGAGCATTTTCATCTTATTGTAAATTGTCGCCCTTTTCTATATACAATCGGTGAATAATGGCTTGGCAATTTGCGGGTGGAAACTTGAGAGCTAAATTGGCCACTTAAAAGAGCGCTCCGAGGGTGCCGATGTTTATCTTCAAGGGTGCTCGTTGCAACAATGCAGGCGCCACGAGAGGAGCATTGTTGCACCAGGGTAATCCGTTTAGCACCGCAGAATCAAGTTTCATAAACACCTGATGGGCCGTGAATGCATTTTTGTTGGGTCTATTTCGGCGGCTCGTGGAACGAGCATTCTTGGGGAGAAACTGCATCTGGAGTGAATTTGATATTTTCACGCCAAGATGCGCTCCGATGATAAACTTTTCAACAGCAATTTAAGCGGCGGCGTCTGATAAAAAAGAGAATTTTATGCCGAAAGATCCAAGATTTTAAGTGTACATTCCTTTCGTACCAAAAACTTGCAAATTTATTTTAAAAATTTGTACAAAGTCTGATAAATAATTAATAAAAAAGTTGTCAAATATACATTATTTTTGTCTGATGAGAATATTGAGAATTTTCTTAAAGTAATGCGTTTAATGACAAAGAAGAAAATAAATTATGTCTTTTTATTAATTTTTTAAAAAAAAAAGAGATTAAATGTTGCAAAAATCTTCACGTTTTTTGTACTTACTTTCAAATGTTATTCTTTAATCCTGATTTTACAATATCAATGTGAATTCAATCAATTTTTCTATAAATGATCAATTAAATGGAACTTCAGCTTCGACTTTTAAATATCAAAAGGCGATTTGATAATGAATAATGATTATGGTGTTTTAATATTAAACCCAAAATCAATTTAAAACAAATTAAAAAGAAAATATAACTAATTTTTTTATTTAAATATGAAACTGTTAATATAATAATCGTCTTATTTTATATTACTTAACGTTCTTAATCTCACTTAATTCTTAATTTTAAATTGCAAATTCCAAAACATTAATTTTATAACAGTTCATAGAATTTGAAAACTGACCAATTTTAATTGGGAGTGTTTCAAATTTTCGGCTCTTGCGTGAGAGGGAGCGCGGCGTATATAATTTATGCTAATCCGTTTAGCACCAAAGAATTAAATTTCCTTTAAGCGTTTTGTGATGAGCCTTACCAGACACACAATAATATTTTCATAAGCGGCTTCCACGAGTGTATAAGAGGCTTGCTGCAATAATGGTAATCAGCGTATCCGAAAGGGGTGTGCCCCGCCATAAACCGACTCAAAGAGATTGTTAGAGAGAGAAAAAAATAGGAAACACTGTCCAAAATACCACTTCATTATACTCGGCGGCATGATATCTTGATTTCGGTACAAACATCTGCCTCATCCATTGGTGAAAATATACGCGCGAGTTTTCCTCCCCTGGGTGCCGACAATGCGAACATTTTTCAACCGGCTCACCCCTCGCCCCTTGCACAAATGATCTGCATTATTTCAACCCCTGGTGCCAAACTGCACCCCTGCGACCGCTGCCGAGAGACAGAAAATGGTCGTTTACTGTCACTAACTGTTTTGATCACTGAACCAAGTTCGTGAAATAACTAAAAAGTTGAGCAATCTCACATTCATAAACAAAACAATACTTTTATTTGCCAAGTTTTTGAAACAAAAATTAATTATTTAATAGAGGATATTAAGATAATTAAGGAGAGTTCACGGAAAAGCTCGTAGAATTGCATACAAATTTTGAAACAGTGTTTATAATTTAATTTTTGGCTTCATTTGTTATATATTTTTATGGTTTCGCACGCGTTTTAAATTGTGGTAGATTTTCATTAGAACGCAGATAATTTAATGTGTTTGAATAATTGATTCCACTCTATATGATTTAACAAGGTCTGGACAATGCAAAAAGATTTAAATTTCTATCAAAATACGATTTGAAATCAAATTTGTGATAGGAAAATATAATATTTATAAAATAATTTATGCTTTTTTAAATTTTTCTTTTGAGGATTTATGAAAGAATTACTATTATACAAAAATCAAAAACATAATATAATTAAAATAAAATAAAAAAATTTATTATTATTTTATTTTTAAAAATTCTAAAAATTAGTGATAAAATTAAATAAAAAGTAAGTATTATTATTTTATACAAAAATAAGCGTTTAAAATTTTCAAAATTGTTATATTTTGTATTTATTATGCTATAGTGTAAGCTTTTCAATAAATCCAATAATTATTTTATTTATTTAGTTATTAATATTTTGATCTTTGACCTAGGGAATAAATTTAACATTGAGCGAGCTGATGCATTTTAAATGTTTATTATATAGAAACTGACAATGAGGTTTCATCAAATAGAAAGAATCTGAAAATCTGGCAAGTTTAAACAAATTAAACCTTACACTAAAATTTTTGAGACAGAAAGTTGCTGAGCATTTTTTGCGGATTGGGGCTGCAAAGGTCTAAATATAAATAAAGATTAATTGACGTATCCGGTGGCAGGCAGGGACGTATCAGATCTGGCGAACGCTCTTTTCGTCTTTCTCCACTCGCGCGGTGCCAACAAAAACAAAGCTCCAAATTAATGATCCACTACTTTTTTTTTCCGAATCACAAAAAGAAGAAGACAGACTTTCAATTTTGGTCCATTCTTATTTTGATAGAAAAGAAATCGGCTTTTGTGATCAGTCTAAAAAGAGCAACGTGTTTTCTTCATGCGTGTATATATATTTTTTTTCTATTGAAAATCACGCACTCGCTCCCGTTTTCCGCTCGAGGGAGTGCATTTTGTGGGACACAATGCGCTGTAATGAGGGCGTGATTGCCATCTCGCCGCCCTTTGTTGCTCATTTTGCACTCTAGAAAAATATAACATAAACCATTATTATTTGTCAGAAAAAGGAGCATCTGCGCGTTCCATGCATGGAAAACGCTTCAGGAAAAAAAAACAGCAAAGGTTTCACTTTACGCTAATTTTATTGTTTTGACGTTTCATATATAGCACATGTAAGGGAATAAATTAATTCGTCAGCTATTTTACAAGAGTGCCGAGAGGGATTTTAATTAATATATCCAGTACATTTTACTACTGCAGGCTTCTAATTTATATACGTTAAGTAGGAGAGTGAGTTGGACGCACGTGCCGCGCACTTAATTGATTCGCGTATTTCAATAACAACAATCTTTTTCAAATTGTGCACTTTCGATTTAAAAACAGAAAAATTCCTACACGGTTGAGATATTCTATCTAGCGTTGCAAGTCATCCAAAGTCAGAAAAAAGATGCACTACCTCAAGGGCACCTAGCACGGATGATTCATTCCTACATTTTCTTCTTCTGATTTACATCATAAAACAGCATCAAGACCAAACTACTTTTTGATCAATATAATTATACTTTGGACGTCTGTGATGGGCAAAAGTTGAGAGAGAAGCGAATTTGTTGATTAAGTATCCTTACCGATTATATCATTGCTTTTTGTGCATCGAGAATTGCAGAATTATTGACAATATGAGGTGCTTTCTGGATTAAAATTTGAGCTCTTTTATAATGTCTTATGCTTTTGCAGAAAAATCGTGCTTTTTAATGTGTCTATTAGGATTAGGGATCATTGTTTTCGTATACAGAGTTGCTATTAAACAGAGATAATTAGAGCACACGTTTCTTCTTTTTTCACCTAATTTTCATATTTTCGGCGCAACAGAAAAATTTCAAAATAATAATTAGCGCGATCCGGTCATGAAATTTGAATGGCGAGTTAATTTTGGCATAATTTTTTGTCTCAAAAATGATGGTCTTTAAATATTTTAAAAGTTTGTAAATTAATTCTCTCCGCCCTGCTATTTTATCCAATTTAATCAGTAAATTTTTGAAATAAAACTCTCGCCAACAAATTAAAGAACTCGCATATATCACAAAGTAAAACAATATATAGAAGAAATATAGTTTTCCACGGTCAATGGAGCGTCCGAAATAATTCAGCGGCGCCACTTCTTTTGTTCGATCATCTCTTGACAGGATCACACGCGCGATATTAAAAACAGTTTTTTCAGTTGAGTCGCGAATAACTTAAAACTCCACAAGCAGGGAGTCCTGAGAGGCCCGCCCCCGGAGGCGGCCCCCGCGCTGGCTGAGACGGGCCGCGGGGGCCGCAGGCGAGCGTCCTGCACTTCACTGGCCGTACCCGTAGCCGGCCGCCCACTGTCATAAGGTGTGGTAGTCCTGCAGCAGGGTCACGTCGCCGTGGTGCGCCGCCCCCAGCAGTCCCCCGGGGCCGGCCGCCCCCTCCGCCCCCGCGGCCGCGCCGGCCGCCGTCGCGCCGCGGGCCATCAGCTGCGTCTGGTAGGCGGCCGCGGCGGCCGCCGCGTTCGACATGACCGTCGCCTGCAGACTGGCCACGCTCGGCTTCACCTCAGGGTACCCCGTCAGCTCCGTGTGGTGCCCGGTGCTCGCCTCCTGCAAACACAAACGAGACATTCTGCATAAGTCCGTGAATTGGATTAAAAAAAAAAAAATTTGTGCAAACTTCCATCACGAGATTGCATCATGAATTTTAGTTTTGAATGGTCAAACTTTACAGCCAAACTTTAATTATTGAAATTTGTGTCTTCCATTAAAAATTATAATGGAAAGAACAAAAACTGCAATTTATTTAAGAACGGCGCTTAAATGTGTCATTTTCAATTAAAACCTTTATGAATAATTAATTTAAATTATGACTTAAAGCTATATTGATTATTTAAAATTCGCCATACTAAAAAAGGGCAAACCGGGGCAGCCAAGCAAAGAAGATTAATAATTTTATAATTTGTTCCTTTCTGCTGTTAGTGCTGCAGAAGAAAATATATTTATATTTTGGACTAAATTTTAAATAAAATCAAATATATCAACAAAGTATCTATGGCTTTGTTACAAACAATTTATGCAACATAATAAAAAATTAATTTAAAATAAATAATAAATAAATATATTTTTAATTTATTAAAACATAAAAACTTTATAATAAATTACTTAAAAAAATATTTTTTTATTAAAACAAGTTTAACAAGCAATTTTGTGCTATTATTAAATAAATTATATTACACTATGGAAAATAACTATATCAATTCTGCTTTCTTATCAATGAGTTTTTCTTCTGTTTTTGTTAAGGTTTTTTTAGTAAAATAAATATCTTTGCTGAGTTCTAAAGTAAAGAAACCACTTTAAATAGGAAATTTAATTAGCTTAACTAGACTCAAATTACGTTCGAAGATCAGAGATATTTGAAACAAAATCGGTGCAGAAATGAAAAGAAATGTCCTGACGTGAAAGTAAAACGATCTTTCAAATCACACCAATCTGTCTAATAATATCTGGTGCTGGAAAGCTGATTCGGCTATTTGCCTATGTAGTATTGTCTCACATATTTCGCGTCTCGGAATATAAATTTATAGTTTATGTATAATTCCATGTAAAAGCGATTAGCCTACCTTGAAAGAGGGGTCAGAAATTTCATTAGAAAAATCATTATAATAATTACTTTTGCTTCCAAATAAGGAATATATAATAAAATCAATAATGTTCAGTAAACTCAAGAAAACTATTTTTACAGCAGATTAAATTCAACAAATTTATATTATTATTAATAATATAAAATTTATACAAATTAAATTAAATTTTAAAAAAAATTAACGATATAAATGTTTAAAACTCTTAATGAATTCAAAGTATTAAATAAACAATTTCATTAAAAATTATTTTAAAGTAAGTTAGGGTTTTTTATTGTATAATAGCAGACTTTCATATTATCAAGTTTCACGCGCTAGAGCGGATATTTTGGAATATTGTTTTGTGGATTAATTTCAAAATTTCTCTAAATTCTAAACATGTTTTATTACAAACAAAATTACGATTTTAATGTAAATACTCATTGAATTTTCCTCTTTCTCGTGAGGTTTTTAATGTTTCATAAATCAAACAGGGCTTATAATATTTCTCAAAATATCAATCATATGATTTTGTCGTAATTACAGAAAAAAGCATAAAACTTGGATAAAACAAAATCCTAATCAGTCAGTCAGAGAGGACCTCGGAAAACTGCAGCCTGTGTGTTTTGGTCGTGAAAACGAGTGCTCAGCGCCGTGCCAATACAAATTACACGCCCGAAGAAGCGTGAGAGGTCAAAACAGAGCCTCTGCATCACTCTAATCAAAAATAGCGCCAGACGTGCAAAAAATCGCCTGCACGTTGTGCTCGTCTAGGCCGAGATTGATTTCAGCGTTGGCTGCGAGTAAAAAAATGAAAAATTTCGGCAAACTTATCGTCAGGGGGGCGCAAATTGACATGCAAGAAGTAGCTGTTTGGTAATTTGCGAATGAAATTTCACAGGCTAGCCCGACGCCTGCAGGACTAATCCTGTTTTGTCAAATAATATATATAATAACCAGTTTGTCTTGTATTTGGCATTTGCATAATAAAAAAGGCAGCGCGCGGTGTCGGATTTCGGCTCCTCTATTTTTTTTTTGTAATATTTTCGTGGCCCATATTGGCTGACGGGGCCGAGATCCATCTGCGGCCGGGCGGAAAAGTAAGTCCGGCGCATGATTGATGATGTCGACGGCTAAATTAACATCGGTTTGCCCTAATCATCGCCCGGCCGACTTGTAATTAAAACACGCATCCAGACAAGCTAGGGCGTGATGCAAACAACTCAAATTGTATTTCCAGAGATATTATACACGCTGCTCATTTCGCCCGCTGCCGCTCATTTATTATTTTAATACGCCGTCGCTCGTTCGGCTGAGTCACGTGGAAAATTATTCATCTTGTCGTAATTTCACTCCGACGTCCCATCAAAAAACAATAGGCTCCGACAGCGAGGAAAAAGACCCGTACGCGCAAAGTAGCTTATGAATGAAAATAAATTTAAGCATTTCTATACATCTGAGATTTAAAACAGTTTAAAAAAAAGTTATTATAGATTTACCTTTTCAACTAATAACACAGTTTGTTCCAAAAACTACAGATTTTGGTCACATTGGCGCTGCGATCGCTGATTTTGCCAAGTTTTCTGCAGCGCAAAATCAGCGATTGCAGCGCCAATGTGATCAAATCCTGCAGTTTTTGTACAAAATTGATGGATCTGATTGGCTTCTCAATTCTCACACATTTTTCGCGCGAATCACTAGTTTTTAGGTTTTCTTTTGATTGAGACGCAACGGTTTGGAATTTTCAAATAGTGTTTTCACAAGATATACTCGAAATTTAGCAATCTTTTAGAATAACGAGCAATATGAATGACCGGAGGGGGTCTTTAAATTTAAATTTTATTTTATTCTTGTAAGCAATTTCTTTAAATTTTTTAATAAAAATTTGTTAAACCAGAGCAATTGCTGAGACGTTAATTTTTTTCTTTTTTTAATTAGCTTAGTTAATGTTAATTCCGAATTATTTGCCTTCACTTTGGGGTAAAAATAATTATAATAGATTCTACACAAAAGCAATATTTTAAAAATTTCTTCCCTCTGATGAATTCCGAACTTATTGAAACAAAAATGATTTTGGCAAACTTACCATGAGCCCTCTTGCATAGCAAAAGTCGTCCAGCTTGTGTCTGGAGTCGACGGACGTAGGCGTCCTCGAGGCCAACGGTCCCAGCACGCTGCCAACAGACTGGGGGCCGGAACTCGAGTCCAGGACGGATTTGTGGTCGGAAGCGTCGATTGAGTCCGAACTTGAGTCCAAAGCTGCACTGGCCGCCGCAGAACTGTGGCCCTTCTCACCGTCGGCTGCTGAACCACGTCCACTACTGGAACAAAAAATGAAAAAACTTTCAGTAAAAATTAAAAAAAAAATTAATAAATAAATTCTAAGCAGAATGAAACAAGTTTTTTTTTAATTTATAAATTATTGGTTTTTATTTTAATAAAAAACCAAAAAATATATATGATAATTTTAAATAAAATATTACTTTAAGTTATTTTTAATTATAAAATATTTAAATTTTTATTTTTAATATTCAAATATTAGTCTGCGTTGCAGAATGAAAAAATTAAATAAAGTAATTTTGAATCAGTTTATATGCTAACGTTTTTTGCAGTGATTTTTTGTTGTCGATTGATGAGCCCAATTTATTTATCTCGGTGCGGCCTATTAAATTTTAGATTCAAACGCGGGTGCCTCCATCGCACATGTTCTAAATTACGACGAGCAACCTCTTGTTTTAATTAGCAACGCGATTTTCTTTCTCTCTCTCTCTCGCATTTTAATATATTTTTTCTGCTCCAAACGAGACGGGCTAAAGTGCCGCGTGTATCATCAACACCTTGGGTCGGTGATTTAACCCTTCCCCTGGGCGTTAGTCAGTCTCTCAGTCTATTTCAATAAGTGGCAGGCCTGTTATTACCCGCGGTGCGCCAAATGAATTCGATAATGGGGCTGTTGAAATAATATTATTTTCTTGCGAAGGAAGAAAAAAATTAGATCGGAGCAGATTTTGTGCAAATTACAGCACGGGACGCAAATTGTCTATCGAGCGAGAACGAAAACGGTCTATATTAAAAATAAATATCAAGCAGGAGAGGCCGAGAAACAACAAATTGGGAATCAATAAATTGCTTCTATCAAGTCTGATCTCCTTTTCTTCGTGTATTTAGCCCAAGCTGCGAAAATATATACCGCTCACGTTTTTCCTACACTTCTCATATTGAAAGATTGTCGGAAAGATTTGTAAATATATTTTGTGTCGAGCTTTTTTAACGTTAAAACTTGACCACCTGCACGTTTTCATGATAAACCTGTGTTTTGCGGAATATAGGAGAGAACTATGATGATCTATTTAATGATAGCAAAATTTTATTGGTAAAAATAAAAATTTAGAATCCTTGTCTTTTAGGAAATTGGTTTTATCTTTAAATTGACGCGAAAAACTAGAATTTCTCAAACTAGGAAGAAAAGAAATTGTTTACAAAGTCAATCTTTTCGTGATGATAAAAGTAATAGATAATCTCTATAAAAAAAAATTTGCAACACAAGCAGAGTCAGCACATCCTGCTAATAATTTGATGTGGAAAGGATAAGCAAAGGAGAGCATTTTTCTTATTGTAAATAAGTTTACCAGCAAATTTAAGATTTCAAATAAAAAGTTGAAATTTAGACACTTTAATTACTTTCCAAACATTTGTCGTTCAGTTTTTGAATCCGCATGAAATGTCTTTTGAAAAATTTAAACAGAAAGTGGAATACACACTTGACAACGAAAAAAAAAATGACACAACTCGACTGAAAAATTACACTCTGACAAAATCTTGTTATGGAAATGAAGGGATCGGGCATTTCCTCGACGTGAAAATTATTTTATTCAAAAAGAAATTGCTTTACCAGTTTCGGTCATGATCTGCGCCCCTTTTTCATGAGCAAAACAAACAAAAAATTAGCAAAATTGAAAACAAAATCCAAAAACATCAAAAAATGTGGTCAATTTCTTCAAACAAAATCTTGTCAGTATAAAACTGTTTCAAATTAAAATCTTTTATATCGCGAATTATGCAAATCATTGCAGGTTGCATTTCTCAAAACTTTGATCTCCTCACAAATTGTGTTGAGAACTTTCAGAAATTATCAAACAAAAGCACATTTTTTTAATATTTAAATATTTAATTAAATTTCCTCCAATCAAATATTTGAATCAATTTTCGGTTTTTATAAGTCGGGCGAAGAGGAAGCAGTGAATTCCAGCCCAATTTTTTTGTGTTCATCTTTGGCTGGTCGCGGCGTCGTCGCGGCTCGACGTTTTCGTTCTTTTTATTTTTTCTCTCTGCGTTTTTCTTTTCCGAGAGAGAGCGCGCGCATGTTTTTCGTCGTCAGGCGCACATGAGCCGTGTTTATCGCAGGGATAATTATTAACGCGCTGTAAAAAAGCAGGCTTAGCAAAGACAAGGAAGGCCTGTGAGAGGCTGGAGGAGGGCGTCGGGGGCCGTATCAGGTTTCACCACATGTGAGCGAGCGAGCGAACGAGCACCAGGGGCCACCCCCTCTCTCTCCGCGCACGGCATGCGGGGCCTCCATCCATCCGTCCGCTTGTCCGTCCGTCCGTCCGTCCGACCAGACAGGCTTTTCTTTCAAGACGACCCGAATATAATTCGTGGCCCTCATTTCGAGAGTGAGCTGCAGCGTCACAGAAAGACAAAGCAACATAATGAGCGCCGAATTTTTTTACTCTCTTCGTGGTGCTTTTTGTTTTGCGAAGGGATTTGCGCGTTCTTTCACGGACAACAGGTTGATTTGTTTGGCGAGCGTCAGCAGCACAAGTTTTGCACACTTTGTTAAGCAAATTGATGTAAATGACTAGTTTAGAAGAAAAATTAATATTTTTAATTAATATACTTTAATAAATTTTTATATAACTGTGTAAATAATACTTTAAATAATTATTTTTTTATTTTTTTAATATTTTAAAATGTATCATTTAATTGTTTTAAAGCATTCTAACGATTAAGAATCAATTTAACTTGGCTAAAAATGTAATTGAATGCCAAAATAAATAAATACAGGAAGGAACAGAATAATTAAGCAATATTGAATATGTTAAGGAATAAATAACATGTTGTCCATTGTCCAATTAATCTCACATTGTTGCAAATATTTTTCAATCTGAATTAATCCATACTTAAAAAAAAAATATCACGCAATTAAAGCTTTTCACATTAAAAAAAATATTATTTCATTTCTGTTATTCGCATAATTTGTACTTTTTTTTATAACGTAGCTATGAATATTAGCATAAATGGCATAAATAATAAAATAAATTAGAGGTTTGAATGTAAAATTTCTATAGCGAGACCTAGGGCTGAGCGTTTTAGTCGATCAAATATTTTTTCTGATCTTCGCAGGATGTTAGGGTTATGAAATGCTAGGGTCAATATCGACTAAAATCGACTAAATTGACAAAAATTGACTATTTCGACTAAAAACAGAAAACAGACTAAAACCGACTAAAATAGCTGAAAAGTCCCGATTATTTTCCAGAAATTTGAGCTCCAAGTGAAAAAAAAAATGGTTTTTGGCAACCATCTAAAAATCTCAGACAGATCATTTGGATCATTTCTAGCTATATTTTTTGACACATTTTTTTTCTACCCCTCACCCCTGGAGGCTGGAACCCTGGCCCACCCTTTTGACGAAGTCGCGACAGAAAAAAATGTATTTTAGCAATCATCTAAAAATTTCGGACAGACCATTAGGATCATTTAGCCCGATTTAGCCAAATTTTAGAAAAAAAAAATTTTTTTTTCTTCTGGCCTTAATTATTAAATTTTCAAAATCGACTAAAACAGACTATTTTTGTTCGAAAATCGACTAAAATCGACTGAATTTAGGCCGAAAATTGACTAAAAAAAAGTCGACTATTTTGACCTTCAAAATAGACTAAAACGCTCAGCCCCTCCGAGACCTAATTTGATGACCAAAATGAAGGTCTTTTTAAAAATTATACATATTTGGCGTCACTTTACATGTTATTTCTTTAAGTTTAGAAGGAAGGAATTAAATAAGTATGTATTTGGAAGTTTCGTACAGTTTAAAAATAAGTTCTTACACAAGAAAAACTCATAATAATATTTTCATTATACAACAAAAAAAATTTCATGTTAATTTGCATTAGCTAATACAATTATGTCATTTTTATTCCACTGGAATTTTGGTAGCTCTCATAATTTTTGTTAATAATGAAAGTAGCTGCGATTGTCACTTTATTTCTGCTCAAAACTTGTATTTAAAATGGTGATATTTTACTTTTTCGCACTTATTCAGAATTATATATAATTAATTCAACAAAGACTCGGTTTGAAGCAAAATCAATTCTTCTTCACGGTCTGAAATGTCTGAATTGCAGACAAAAAGTGGAAACATCAAAGGTGAGCAAGTGCCCGGGCACCAGTGGCACCGACCAATAATTATTCTCGTTCCGTCAGAATAAATGAAGGGTGCGCACCCTCGACATTAGACATGCACGAGCTATCAAATTAGACGCGCAACTCACTCCTCATGAGACGCTCAATTGACTTTTCAAATGGATAGCGTTTCAGGCATTGAAAGTAGAGAAATTGCGCCCGGCCATCAAAAGCTCGTATTGAGTTGCCCACCGAGCGACACCTGAGACGGCCTCATTGTTGAATTAATGACACGCCGCTTTTTATTCTGCTGGAAATAAATCAATTTCCTCCTCCTCGATCCTCTCTTGATGAATTATATTATATTTTCGTGCGATTATCCGCGCGCAGCATTACGTTTATTTTAGTTGTGTATTTTTCAGGTTGATTCGGATCGGGTTTCAAATGCATCCATGTCTACTTATTTTTCGTGAGGGTTGCGTGATTATGTCTGTGATGCTGCTGCTGGCTGCTCTTTCATTGCACTGCGCGCCGATGTACGCGGAGACGAGCCGCCGTCGCCGTTGCGCTGACTATCTTTTTTAATCGTATCAAATATCAACCTTTAAAGGACGCCATTATTATATTTTTATATTCATTATGAAACAAACAACGTTGAATGCACGCTGCTTTTATACTCGCTCTCCGCGCTCCCTGCGCTTTCTTATTATTTTTTTTATTTTATCCTTTGTCACAGCCGTTGCGTTTTCTTCTTTACGCACAGCAGCCATTTCTGCATTCGGAGACAAAATTTATGCATCGAAGAGGCCTTTTGTATCAAAAATTAAATTATTGACAAGAATTTAATTTATATGCACATTTTAAAAATCTTTACTGTTAAATTATTGAACATAATTATTTTAAAACACAATTTGTAAGA